GAAGCAATGGTAGGAAACGCATGTTAAGAGAGGAGAGTAGAAACCACATTTCAGATATTTACTTTGTCAGAGATGTTTAATGTCTGACGGTGAGAGTGCCCCTGGCTGTGCAGAGGACCTATAAACTGTAAGTATTTAATATAAATTAAAACAAAATTACATGTTCAGTATTTTTTCATATCCCTACCTATGTACACTTGCATTAAAAAAATAATGTTGACCCTAAACTAAAGTGGTGAACCTATAATGTGATGGCCTTTAGTTGAGTGCTCAAGAACACAGTGGGCACTGGGAAAGAAAGTGAAAGGATTCAGGAAGTTATAAACCTTTGCCATTCTAACCAGAATTAAAGGAGAACTATGGGGTTAAGTCTTTTCCCCATAGTTCTCCTCAGGGTAACGGGAGGACCAGGGGCTGAATGGCAACTTTTAGCCCAGGGGGCAAGTACAACCCAGAGGCCCATGGTGCAGCAACTTGGCCCCCCTCACGCTTTGCCTCTTCCCCGGCTTCTCCCCGCCCCTGTCTGTCACTTTTGCCATCTATGTAACAGTAGTTTGAATGTATTTATCGGTTTAGGAAATGTAAAGCGCACTGGTAGTGGAGGGATGCCTTGTCAGGGGTGTGCGCGTGCATGACTGCTGCGCCACTGGTAGTTCTGCCACTAACTCAGAAATACATTTTACAGCATTGCAGAATGGCATTGGCTATAGAGAACTACAAATCCCAGCAATAGTACATTATACAGCGCAATGCAGAATATCACCAGCTATAGAGGACTACAAATCCCAGCAATAATGACTACCAACAGATAGAGAACTACAATTCCCAGCAATACCATTATACAGCAATGCAGAACAGCATCAGCTATAGAGAACTACAAATCCCAGCAATAAATATTACAGCAATGCAGAATAATATGAAGCTACAAACTCTGTTGCTCTGGGTTCTCCGCCTGATGTCTAAAGAGTCTCAGGTGGGAGCGGTGGAAATAAGAAAAAATAAGTGTGGTAGGCAATATAGTGAAATGGAAAGTGTAAAATTATACAGCAATCAATGCAGAATGGCACCGGCTATAGAGGACTCAGCAATACATTATACAGCGCAATGTGGAATTCCACCACCTATAATATACTATTGCTGGGTTTTGTATAGCTCTATAGCTTGTGGTATTCTGCATTTCGCTGTATAGGGGGACTACAAGTTCCAGCAATAATACATTATAGCTGGTGGAATTCCGCATTGTGCTGTGTAATGTATTATTGCTGGGATACAGCGCAATGCAGAATACGTAGGGAAACAAAAAATTGGAGAAAAAAAATTGTGTTTCCCTACAGCATACTTGTTGGACACCCTGGTCCAAACAGAATGGAAGCCGCACACCTGCGCAACCCCCCCCTCCCCCCCCCCTTTTTTTGTCGATTAGTTGTTGCAGCCCTACATTCATCCCCGATTTCTGGGTACAGTCCCCGGATTCAGGAGACCGTCCCCAGACAAATGATGTCCCTATTAGCGTAGCGAGGAAGCCGGCTGTGCATTTTGCATCGCTCGCGCTACGCTAATAGCGAATCTTCTCAGAAGCTGCACACAGCGTGCGACGGTTTAAGTAGTAACCAGCACGCTCTGTATGCAACTTCTAACAGCGTGGGAGACGGGAGGCCGCACATTTGGTGGATGCAGGGATCAGGTGAGTATTAAAAAACTAAGTTTGTTTTATGTTCCCAGGAATACATTGTCCCCGGATTTTGTTTTTAAAATGTCACCTTCCTCCCGTTACCCAAAGCTCAGTATATCGTGAGCTACAGCTTGCGGTATTCTGAGACCCCCACAGCTGGGACGGATCCACACAATGCTGTCGAGATCGACCCTCCTGCATGAATGACAGCTGGCTCTGCCTATCTAGAGGCAGAGCCAGCTGTACCCACACCCTCCCCGTCCGTTCCTCCAGTCAGCGCTGAAGGATCGGAGCGGGGAGGGGGGAATCCCTGCGGGGAGCCGTGACTGACAGTCACCGCTCTCTGCAGGGAGATGATCGAGAAGTGAGCGAACGCCGGTATGTGTTCGCTCACCTCCCAATTTACTGAGCCGACCTGTGACAGTCTCATTGTCACAGGTCGGCTAGAACTATGAGGAGAGTGAAAATCACTCACCTCATAGTTCCCCTTTAAGGAAAAAAAAATTTTGTTTTGCTGAAGTTCCGCTTCATGCTGGCTCCCCTATTTTAGGTGTGCTATTGCTATATGACAATCTCTAGCTAATGTTGAAATCTTTACATCCCAAAATTATGATTTTGGATCTCAGGCTGCTTTGGTCCTACAGTTTAGATGATAGAAGGAATAACAGCTATGGTTATGACATGCTACACTTGCATATTCCATGAGAAACACTTTAAATCTGGTCTAAAGGTGGCCATACGCCTTTCAACCATTGTACAACTTTTGTTTCCAGACATCTCACCCTCATTCAATTTTCTTACAACTAACCCATCATGCACAGACCAATGTAGTTCGCAATTAACACTCGTCAGCACCACCACCTGGCCGATTTTCATCAATCAAAAGGACAGATTTTCGTTTGAGCATGTGCAGTTTGCATCTTGAGATTGTTGTTGTACAACAACGCCACTAACCTGTCAATTTTCATCCAACTAGACAAAAATGTTCTAGCCTGCTTGAAAGACAAAAATCTGCCAGTTGTACAGTAATTGAGGTTGTACACTCCCCATTAACTGGCAAATTTTCTGACAAAAACGCAATCGCAGGCAAAAATCTCCAGATAATTGTAAGGTGTATGGGCACCTTTAGACAGCACCATTACAAAGGTTACAGAGACAGTGATTCCTGGTTTAACTGAATCCTTATCTACACACTCAGGTCAGCAGAAGGCAACCTATAACTCATAGAAATCAAACCCATAGAAATCAAATAGAACAGTAACAGTTCAGTCTTCAGAGTATTTTATTTCTATGCAAACCTATTATGCACATTTCAAGATAACATTTGCATAATGCGCCAACTAGTTTAACATAAAACAGAAACATTTGCAGTACTTTACTTCTTCAAATGGTAAGATAATAAGATCTGTGAGCTCTGAGTTGGCTGTATAGACATAGAATTGGAGATCCTCAAAATAAGTACATCTTTGACCTTCCCAATTATGGTCATAGATATAAAATGTATTCCATTATTTGAATCTGTGATGTGTTAAAAAGCATGTTATATTGAATATGTGGCATTTTTCAGGACTCAAAATATAAAGTCACTAGGCAGTAAGGTTGGCTATGCAGATAATTAGGCATATTTCGATTCAGTGTGAGTTGGATGAACCATTAGACACTGTGCATTAGTGCTGAGTGTATCAGTGGATGAAAAGGCCTTCTTATAAATAGTATTATTTGTACATTGTAATTCACACAGAACCAAGACATAAACATTTGCAAATGTTGCAGAAAAATGTATCAGCATATTAACACTGTAAGCCTATGCGACAACTGGCACACACACTGTGGGTACATAGAGTCTATAAAATCTAGCTTTTCTGTTGTTTAAAAATGAGCCAATCTATCAAAAACTAATGCTTACACTTCTATATCCAGTAGGGGGGTGGCCACTGTAGACGAATGACATATTTCCCTGGGGGGGGCCACACAGGATTATGAAAATCACTCCTGTAATAAGATGTTAAACATAGATGAATGCAATAAGACTAAAGATTGGGCCACAATAACTGAATCTAAATTACCTATCTACTGTTGTCTAACATCGTGCTATTTGTCAGCTGTTCTAATATACCAGTAAATATTTCTTTGATCTTGACACAACAGGTGGTTTTGCGAGGACATTTCACGTACTGAAGCTCAGAATGTACTTATGTGCAAGCATGTTGGTTTTTTCATCATTCGAGCCAGCCAGACTTCCAAAGGAGAATTTTCTATCTCAGTGAGGTAAAATATCAACACTGATATGATAGAATGCATTGTCTCAGTTTATTAAATGAACAATAGTACAAATGCACTGGCAAATTAATCTAACCGAACATAAAATATCATTTTAAGAACTCTTGTTTTTGAACACTTTTGCTCTACGTTCAGCTGTTGCCTAAAAGACTAGAGAGGCAGCCATTTTGCATCATATACCAATAATCATTATCCTACATCCTTACACAGATAGAAAGGGCTGCACAGACTAGCTATAATATTGGGAGATTGTAAAGCTGAAGTTTTGTTTTTTTTTAGGAAACAGCACAAATCACATTAGTTACCTATAATGATGTGCATCCCACCTCCTCCAGGCTGATGCTTTGGGACAAAATCCTCTCAATGCCGCTGGATAGACTAGAAAGCATTTATCTTCTGGTGCTCTAGGGCAGTGGTTCTCAACCTGTGTAACCTCAGGACCCACATTGGTCCTTGGGTATTAGGTCGTGACCCAAGTTGCATCGCACTGGAACACACAGCATTGCGGTACCATGCGTTCCGGTGCAGGCAATCGAACTGTGGGTGGGAGGTGCGTTTGAGGTGCCATTCAAATGAATGGCAACGCACCTCCCACACCAGAACACATGGTAGGTACGATTGTTGGTACAGTGCATTAATCGTATGATCAATGCACTGTACTAGTGAGAACGGACCCTCAAAAACACTGACAGACACACAACCACAAATACAATCTCACACCCTCCAAAAAAAACTTTTTTTTTTTAAGATCCACCCAGTCTCCGTACCTTCCAAGAACTAGAGTGGATCGTCAGCTTGGGGTCCAGTGTGGGCTGTGACAGAGCTCCATTTATATGTACATTGCTTGTACACCTTCCTGTAGAGGTGGCAGAAGCCAGAGTGTGACGCCATTTTGGTCCAGGCATTTCTACAGGGCATGCGAGGGAGCTTTAAGCAATGCACGTATAGATGGAGCTCCATCGTGGTCATAACCTCAGCACACCCCACCTCAAGCTGACACTCGTCGCCGGGCAGCTTATTTTGAATGGCTGCTCAGTACGAGAACTGACACTGCTGTGCTAGGTGGAGGCTGAGGAGCCTCTCACCTAGCACAGTGAATGGCCCACGGCGACCCACTAAACACGTGGTTGCCACCCACTTTTTGGTCGCGACCCACCAGTTGAAAACCACGGCTCTAGGGTTTAGGACCAGCATTTATCATTGTGAAAGAGTTGCTCTGTGGAACAATGATGGCACAAGCCAGGAAGGGGACAGTAAGAGGCAGGCTAGTGGTGCAACTTATAATTATAGTTCTTTACTTTAACTCTCAGAGCAATGGAGGAGATGGGACACACTATCACATATAACTAGTGTGATTGGTGTTGTAGCCTAAAAAAGAGTGGAAATTTATTACACAACAATTTAAACAATTTAACAATTTGAACGTGTTAGTCTCAACAATGCAGAGCGTATTACAAATGTTCATATACAGGAATATCTGGGTAGATGTAGTGATCATAACATGATTTCACTTGATTTAAAGTCCATCTATGGACAAACAAAAAAAGTAACTTTGCAGTGAGGCTACCTCTGCACTGCAAGGGTTAAGTGTTTGTTTTTGGCTAAAGGTTAGAGTAAAGCAGATTTACTGTATTTACCTGAACTTTGCTACCCCACTGGTCAGTTCTCTCCTCTTCTGCCCCTGTGCTCCAGCTGGTGGAAAGTCCTTGGCATCCTCATGTCTAATGCAGGTTCCATGAAATCTGCATGAGACATGAGCGAGCCAGTGGGAGCAGGGATCAAGTAGGTAAATCTGCCTTATTTCCGGTCATCTAGACAAAAAGAAGCATTTACCCTTGGAGTGCTGGGGTACTTTTTTGTTTGCCCGAAAATTGGCTTCAAGATATACCTAACTAGCAAAGTGTGCCCCTGCCAGAACATGTAAGGTTGAGGATATTACAAACAGTGCTAAAAAGGTTATTGTCTCTCTCCCTACTGGCAAATCACCGAGGCTTGATGGTTTTACCTATATGTACTACAAGACTTATTCTCAATTGCTTTCTCCATATTTAATGAGATTGTACAATCAGTTTCCTGAGGGCCCCCTCAGTCAGTCTTCATTTTTGCAATCTTATATAATTGTGATCCCCAAACCAGATAAAAGGTGATACCATATGTGCTAACTACTGACCCATAGCGCTTCTAAACTCCGACTACAAATTATTTACCAAAATTTTAGCCAATAGACTTTCTGCCTTTCTACCTAATGGGATTTACATGGACCAAGTCAGCTTTGTAGTGAATAGACAGGCGGGGGACAATACCCGTAGAGTTGTCAAATACACCCCCTCCCTCCTGGCAAGTCTCGTGGCAGAATGAGCCTCTCCTCGGGTGGAGAAACAACTGTTTCACTTTAGAAATATTATAGATCTGATATCTAAACCCTTTTCCCTACCTTCAAAAGAAATATCAACTTCCCTCTAAAACTTTATTTGCCTATCTGCAGATTAAACATTTTGCCCAGTCCATCGCAAAAGCCCAGCTATTTTCTAAATGTACCCCATTTGAATCTCTATGTGCACAGCCACCTTCCTCTAGGGGCTTGAGTTCAACCCTATAGAATTTGACATGTGACCCGTCTCCCGGTGAATTTATGAGACAACCCTACATGTTAAAGTGGGAAAAATTGTTAGGATTGAACACTACACAAGATCAATGGGAGAGTATATGGAGCTCAGCATCTAGGTCCTCTATATGCTGCGTCTTTAAGGAAAATCAGTATAAGGCACTATATCACTGGTACCATACTCCTGAATTTCTTCATAATATATATCCCATTGTATCTGTTGCTCTGTTGGCGATGTATGTCTCAAGCCGGATCTCTCTTCCATATCTTCAGGCAGTGTGGTCGAATCAGGCCATTTTGGAGGAATGTCCAGACTCTCTTACAGAGCCTTCACCAGAAAATTCCTTTAGACCCCTTAAATTACTTATTAGGTCTTCCCTTAGAAGGGTTCTAAAAATTTAACAAAAAACTAGCATCTCATGTGTTGACAGCTGCACGCTGCCTTATAGCCCTACACTGAAAGCATAGTACTCCACCTTCAGACATGGACCTCTATTCCAGAATAAAGAACGTTCAAAAACTGGAATATATATATAAAACACCTTGACCTCTTATAAGAAAGTATGGGATGCGATGGAGGATGCTGTCTTCGATGGATAGCAGAGGAAGAGGCATTCCTGACCACTCTTTCTAGGTCTGAGGCGGAGCTGGTGCCTAGTACCGAGTTTCTATTTTTGCTTCTAGTTCTCTCTTCATTTCTCCCACATTTCTTTCCTGGTTTCCTTCCTTTATCTTTTTATTTGTGTAAGGTTTGGACTATATGCTATGATTTGCGTAATTCTTTCCCCACTAAACGAACTACCTCATTTACTATATGCTACGTGCAATGACAGTATTTGTGCATCTTGCTGTTTGTAAATGCCTGTTTGTAAATGCACTGTCTGTTAAGGGCTTGTTCACACCGAAAGCGTGTGCGTTCCAGAGTGGTAGCTGCTGGAACGCACCGCGATCGCTGAGAAACTTCCCCCTGCATTTTGAATTCAATGGAACCACTTCCACGCCCCCCATGTGTGTGCATGTGTACTCCATTTGCTGTGTCCTGTAAGGATAAGATAAGCGCTAACTAGAAATTTTAATAAAAACTTCATTTCAGAACCAATGCCAAGGGCCACTCTCACTTTAATGTACACAGTCTATGGACATTAAAATGATTTACACATTTTTAACAAAACAGAAAAAGAGCTTTTAAAACAAACCCTCACTAACCTCTGTAGCTGCAGGTATTGTGAAGAAATGTATCTTCAAATGTCACTAGAGAAGTAGTGAAGTCATCTAAGTTGGCTCTCTGGCCAGTTATATCACAACAGAGACCCGGTAGTCCAGTTTTAATAGGTTTCTTACAGTGTAGAGCTCCTATCTTTGTTTACATCTAAAGTCCCTGCTGTCAGAGAAGAGAACAGGAGGGAAGCTACAATTTCCGTGGCTCTATTGTGAACTCTGAAGATTAACTTCTTCACACTTCCTGCAGCTACAAAAGTCAGTAAGGGTTTACTGTAAATCTCTTTACTACTGGTTAAAGATACGTAAATACTTTAATGTCCACAGTCTGGGCACTTGTGCACTTTAAGGTTATGACAAGATATGCCTGGAGGAGAAAATAAATAATGGTTGCATGTGAAAAGAGTTCTTTACAGTAAGATCTGAAAAATTTGTGATGAACCTCCTAAGGTTGCCGGTTCTAGCCAACCTAGCATATTGCTTCATAAGAGGCTATGTCGTCTTTCCAAATGCACAAAATATAAATGGCTATTAATATATTTAAGAGGTAACATTGCAGAAGAACTATACACTGATCAAGATGTCACAGTCATGACAGAAAATGGCAACACAGACTGGTTTAAAATTGGCAAAAACTTTAATCAAGGATACATACTTATTCAACTTGTATGCTAAACATAAAATTAGAGAAGCAGCACTACAGGAAGATGATAAAAGTTTCAGGATTCATGTTAGAAATATCAACACTCTTTTATATGCTGATGACTCTGAGCTTATAGCTGAAATTGGAAAGTACCTCAAAAGCCTCATAGAGAAATTAAAAGAACAGAGTGAAAAGATGGAATTTCAGCTTATTATAAAAAAAACTAAGGTTATGACAACAGGAAAGACGGCTGACTTCGAAGCGGATGGTGAAGACAGCTTCTGCTTCCTTGGATCAATTATTAACAACAAAGGATACAGCAGTCAAGAAATATGATGCAGACTTGGCACGGAAGAGCAGGGATAAAATACCTAGAAAACTTCTTTAAAAGTACGTATGTGTCTATAAGTACAAAAATCAGAATTGCTCAGGCTATGGTATTTTCTGTCACTCTCTATGGAGGTGAAAGCTGGACAATGAAGAAACAAGACAGGAAAAGTATTGATGCCTTTGAACTTTGGT